GAGGTGGAAGCTAATAAATGCTATAGAACTATATCTGTACTGTCTCGTGGAGTTCTTTGGGCTGAACCTGACAGTAGAGGGTGTTCCAGTAGAGATGCAGATACTAGACCCCTTTGTGGTAAGGGTTGTCCCTTGCTGGACAGCTTCAAAGAGAAGGTGGATGGTCATCTGTTAGGGATGGATCCTGCACTGAGAAGGAGATTGGGCTAAATGAGCCTTATGATTCTAGCTCCATCCCAATACCTTTGGTACAACCTTCCCTAAAATGGGGAAGTTGGAGATAGGATGATAGTAATAATGATCTAAATTGGCTGGCTCAAGTGATTGCTTTATGTATATAATATTATTAATTATTCTTATTCTTATTCTGTTCTGTTCTATTCTATTCTTATAGTATAGCGTAGTGTAGTGTAGTGTAGCGTAGCGTAGCGTAGTGTAGCATAGCATATTATTGTTTTATAATATATAATAAATAATATTATAATAGAACACCCATAGAGGTGGGAGAGGGTTTTTTAAATATAATGTAATATTATGTTATGTTGTTATGTTATGTTATGTTATGTTATGTTATGTTATGTTATGTTATGTTATGTTAAAAAAATCCTCTCTCACCTCTATGGGTGGTATGTGTCTTCCTCACTCTCGGGTCCTCTACCAGAGGCCTGGGAGTTTGGGGGTTCTGCGCAGTATCTTAGCTGTTCCTAGCACTGCACCCTTCGAAACAGAGAGCTCTGATGTTGTTCCTGGGATCTGTTGGAGCCATTCTCCCAGCTTAGGAGTCACAGCCCCGAGTGCTCCTACCACCACTGAGACCACTTTGGCCTTGACTTTCCACATCCTCTCTATTTCCTCCTTCAGGCTCTGGTACTTCTCCAGCTTCTCATACTCCTTCTTCCCGATGTTGCTGTCACTTGGTACTGCTATATCTATCACCATTGTGTGTTCTGGTCCTTGTCTGGTTGATTGGCCAGTACCTGCCTGTCTCTCTGGATCTGGAAGTCCCATAGGAACTCAACCCTGTTATTCTCCACAGCCTTCTGTGAAACCTCCCATCTGGACTTGGAGGGGTCTAGCCCATAAACTGTGCAGTTGTTCCTGTATACAATACCAGGTACTTGGTTGTGTGGTTCAGTGTATGCTGTTCCTACCTGCATCTTGCACCCTGCCACTATGTGTTGGACTGTCTCTGAGGCCTCTCTCCACAGTCTGCACCTTAGGTCCTGTCTAGTGTGATAGACCCCTGCTTCTATAGATCTGGTTCTTAGTGCTTGTTCTTGTGCTGCTATGATCAGTGCTTCGGTGCTGTCTTTTCCAATGTCAGACACTTCAGCTATCCATTGATGTTACATCCCATGCACGGTCTTGTCTTGCCATGGTACTTCCTCTACTTGAACTTCCTCCCATGTCTGCTGCTGTCTCAGGCATTCTCTCAACAGCTCACCTTTGGGTGCCATCCTGTTGATGTATTTCTGGATGCTCCGGGTTTCATCCAGGGCAATGGCTTTGACACTCATTAGACCCCACCTGCCCTCTTTCTGGCTGATGTACAGTCTCTGGGTGATGGACTTGGGGAGGAAACCTCCTTATATTGTCAGGAGCTTCCAGGTCTTCACATCAGCAGCCTCCATGTCCTCCTTTGGCCAGCTCACTATTCCGGCAGGGTATCTGATGACTGGCAGGGCGTACATATTGATAGCATGGATCTTGTTCTTCCCATTGAGCTGGTTCTTCAGGGCCTGTCTTATCCTTTGGTGGTACTTGGATGTTGCTGTCTTCCTTGCCTCCTCATTATGGTTCCCATGTGACTGTGGGATACCAAAGTACTTATAGCTGGTCTCTATGTCTGCTATGTGGCCCACTGGAAGTTCCACTCCATCAGTCTTAACTAACTTCCCTCTCTTTACTATCATCCTGCCACATTTCTCCAGTCCAAATGACAACCCACTGTCTTCACTGTGGATCTGTGTCAGGTGGATCAGTGAGTCAATGTCTCATTCACTCTTAGCATACAGCTTGATGTCATCCATGTAGAGGAGGTGGCTGATGGTGATTCCACTCTTGAACTTGTACCCGTATCTAGTCCTTGTGATTATCTGGCTGAGGGGGTTTAAGCCTATGCAGAACAGCAACGGGGACAGTGCATCACCTTGGTATATGCTGCCCTTGGTGGGCACTTGTGCAAGCTGTCTTGAGTTGATTTCCAGTGT